GCCACTTCAACGCCGACTCCAAATCGTTCTATGCTGCAAAGTTCCTCCACCAGTTCAGGCAACGCTGGTCTGTGGCCCTGCAAAGGGCCCAATCTGTGGGCCTTCTGCTTAAGCTTGGGGAGGCGGCGGCGGTTGAGAACCCGCCCGTGGGAGGAATTGGGGATGAGTTGCATCTAGGGGACTGTTTCGCGGTGCTTGAGCCTCTTGTGGAGTTGTAGTTCTGTGATGCTTGTGACCTGCATGTGTGTTATCTAGGCCGCCATGACTTGCATGCTTGTACTTGACTGCTATATCAATACAAGGACCATTAGAGAGAGAGAGAGAGAGAGAGAGAGAGAGAGAGAGAGAGAGAGAGAGAGAGAGAGAGAGAGAGAGAGAGAGAGAGAGAGAGAGAGAGAGAGAGAGAGAGAGAGAGAGAGAGAGAGAGAGAGAGAGAGAGAGCGAGAGAGAGAGAGAGAGAGAGAGAGAGAGAGCCTCCGCCCTCTGCTCTTAGACTCTGCCCTTGCCTCCCGGCCCTACTTAAGGCCTTCCTAAGGCCGTGCTTGTTATTGTTAGTTTGGCGGCCAGAACTTTTTCGCGTGAGGGGACGGCGAGAAGTCACAACGGGGCAAATTATAGTAACAATCATTACACACATGGCAGTACCTATCGCGGCCTAGCCGCGCGAGTCACTAATGGAGCAACCGGAGTCCGCGCCTACAAGCGGTGCGCTCCAAGGGCGTGAAGAATGCCCGTCAGGGAGCGCCAAAGCTCCCGGACCACAAGCGTGCTTGCGCCGATCGCCGCGGCTCCAGATCCTGCGCGCAAATGCCGCTTCAAGCTCCGGACAGCCTCGTCCAGCTGTCCCGCAGCAGCAGCGCCACCCTCCGCGGGCGCAGCCAGCACGGGCGCCAGCAGCACGGCGAGCTGGTCCGCCGCATCCAAGCAGGTCTCGCGCGGACGGTCGCGGAACGTCTCAGGAGGGACTACGGGGAAGGACGTGTGAGCAAGAATCTGTATCAGCAGCAACGCGTGAAGACTCTCCGCCAGGCGGTGGAGCTGGCCGAGAGTCGCCTGGGGAACACGAGTCTGCGGAGGCTGAAGCGCCTCCGCCAGGAACTGAAGTGGCTCATCAGCCGCATACTGAGCAACTGCCGCGCCACCACCCGCGGCCACAAACTCCACCCCCGCAACAGGCGGAACCGGCGGCAGATGCAGACGAGAGCCGGGAGCGGGCGCCGCTACAGAAGGAGAAGGAGCGGACGGGGCAGGGACGAGAGGAGGAGGTGCAGCAGCCGGCGGAGGAACCACAGGAGGCACAGTCGGACGAGGAGCCACGTGCGCCGGCGCGTCCCGCATGGAACTGCTCTGGCTCTGCGCCACCCTCTCCTCGCGCACGGCCTGTGACACCTCCCGCTGGAGATCCGCCATTGTCACAGGCGGGCGGAACGCCCCGCGGGGGCCTCTCGAACCCCCATTCCCACCCTGATGAGCGGGCCACTGGGCCTGCTGCTGGTAGCGCCGGGGAGAGTTGCGCCGGCGCCGCGACGACCCTCGTTCCTGCTGGGGCGCGGGAGAATGGGGGCGGGAGAGAGCTGGCGGTCAGGCGATTGGGGACGGGTCGGCTGCACTACAAGGGCCGCCGGCAGGAGAGCGGGAGCAGGCTGGTCCACGCCCTGAGGCGCAGTCATCGGGGCCGGGCCGCCAGTGGTGGCGGACGCCGCCCTCGGGGAAGAAGCAGACGCCGGCGCAAGCACGCCGGGGACAACATCGGCAGGTGCAACGTGAGCGCCGGAGACAGGGACAGGAGGAACAGCAACCTCCCCGCCATGAGCAGACGCCGCCGGTGGCACAACAGAAGCAGGGGGAACAGGGGCAATAGGCGGAGCAGGAGGAGCAACATCAGGCGCAGACGGCGCAGCCCCGTTCACGTCATGAGGACCCGCGGATTCGAGGGGATGAGTCTTTTCAGCGGCTATTGTCAAGGGCTTCAGAGCAGACAGCGGCGGGGACCCCGTCGCCACGGTCCCCGCTCCTGAGGCAGATGGCGGCCTTTCGACCACAACCGACGCAGCGCCAGCGCGCATTGGCGAGTAATCGGTCACTCCAGCAATCACCATCGCGAGGCCGGGGAGCGCGCGGCGGAGGGCGAGGAGCAGCTAGCGGACAGGGAGGAGGGCCGGAGAATGGCTACCAGACGGAGGCTCGAAGGGCTTTAACCAGGCTAGATAATGGCGAAGAACGAACGGACCCTTCTTATAGGGAGGAGCCCATGCCCTCGAGCGAAGATGAAGGGACGGAAGGAGAGGAGGGAGTAAGGGGGAACGTGAGGAGGACGGGAACAAGACCAAGGCAGTCCCTTGGCGAGCAAAGGGATACTGCAGGTGGGCCGTCCGATGCTGATCGTACAGGCGGAATTCCAACCTCACCAGCACAAGTGAGGGCGGGCCGCACCAGACGACATCGGGCCGCGACAGACGGGACGGCGGTGCGAGAAAATCCCGATCTCCCTCGCTATTTCACGCCAGAGGAGCTGGCGATGCGGGCAGACTGGTTCGCGGACATCGCGAACTGGGATATCCCAGCCCTCTGCGACAGTCGACAGCCATCCCTGGCACGGCAGTTACCGCCAAACTTGTGCCAGTTGTTTTCGCAGGCGCTACTGACCCCGTTACTTCACCTATCGCGAAACCCGGAATCGGAGGCTGGTTGGCGCCTTCTCCTCTTTCTGCCACGTCTGACGCTTCGACAAAACTCGCCACGGAAACCGAACTGGCCCCAGATCAAGGCTCGGCTTTGGGCCTTCCAGCGTGGCGAGTGGGACCAACTGTACAAGGACGCGATTGAAGCAGTCAATACACCCGCGCCACCACGTCATCAGCCCGATGCTACCGGGGTCATCAGCCGAGCCGAGGGTCTGGCTAAACGTGGTAGCCTGCGCCGAGCCGTGTTGGCGCTGGAGTCAACGCCAGTCTGCAAACCAACTCCAGAAATTCTGGAGGAGCTCCGGCGGAAACATCCGCCAGCCGAAACAGAAGGGACGATGTGGCCACCCACACCTGAGTCAAAATTGTCCATCACCCACGCTGACTTCGCCAAACTGCTGGGGAGGTGCGAGAACGGGGTCGGTGCCGGACCTTCGGGAACAACGTTCGAGCACATGCGCGACGCGGCAGTCATGAACGGACGAGTCAGCACCCATCTGCACGCATTGATAAACACCATTTTGGGGGGCAACCTACCAGCACCGGTGGCGGACCTACTGACAGCCTCGCGACTCATAGCCCTGGCCAAACTTGGTGGGGGGGCTCGACCAATCGCCATTGGCGAGTGCATCACCCGGCTGACAGCCAAGGCAGCCCTCGCAGCCATGGGCGATGCTGCACGTGCCTATTTCCTGCCTCTACAGTATGGGGTAGCTGTCCCAGGAGGAGCCGAGGCAGTTATCCACGTGGCGCGGGCGTATCTGGACAAGCTACCCAACAGCCTGGTGCTGCAGACCGATATCTCGAATGCATTCAACAGCATTTCCTGACAAGCTATCGCGACGGCGTTACAAGAGCCCGGGCTATCGCCAATTGTGCCGCTGGTGAAACTGATCTATGGTAACCCGTCCAAGTTGCATCTTGATGCAAATTTCGAAAGTGACCCGCTGACCAGCGAACGGGGCGTGCGTCAAGGGGACCCACTTGGCCCTCTACTGTTTGCCGCGGGAATACACCCAGCACTTCGCGACACTGCTGAGGCATATCCCACTGTGCTTTGTCTGGCTTACGCCGACGATGTCACATTCCTGGGGGAGGCGGCAGACACTGTAGCCGCATTCAATCACTTCACCGAGAGGTTGGCGCACCTGGGGCTAAGACACAACACGCAGAAATGCGCAGCCTGGAGCAGGGAAGCAGCAGTGGAGGAGCAGCTGCCGCAGGGCGTTCCATTCTCCCAGGACGGCGTGCGCTTGCTCGGAAGCTTCGTGGGTCCGGAAAGTGGGGCGTCACAGTTCCTGTCGGGTCAGCTACGGGAAATGGCAAAGCCTCTGCCACTCCTTGAGAAAGCCGACCCCCAGGTAGCTTCGTTACTGCTCACCCGCTGTATCTCGAGGCGGGTGGCATACCTCACCAGAACAACACCGCTTCACCTTCTGCCTCACGACACCTGGAGCCAGTGAGGAACCGATCTGCTTGCAGCCCTACTCACAGCATGCAGCATCCGCATCCCCACATGCCGCACTGAACAAGCACGTGTCTGGGCGCAGGCCTCACTGCCGCCGTCTTTGGGGGGGATAGGCATTACCGACCCACTAATCGAGGGAGTGTACGGGTACGCAGCGAGCTTCACATAGGTCGCGCTCTTCCTGGCATCACTAGACGGCGCAGCTGATGGCGCGCTGACGCAGGCTCGGGACCACATGCTGCTGCCTGCAGACGCAGCCACGCCTCTCCACGCATGGCTATCAGAGTGCGAAGCGGCATTACCGGACGACGCATGAGAGATCCTGGAGAGAGAACGGCTGGAGCGATCGGACATCAGGCTCCAGCACGCTTTGGCACTAAGGGTACATGGGAGCAAATATGCCGTACAGGTCAGGGATACTCGACGGATGGCGCTGAACCCCCTCTGCGGACACACGCAGCGGATGTACTCACTGACCGGATACGGGACCGGGGACTGGCTGACCGCTATTCCCATTGCGGCCAACAGGAGGATAGGGCCCACTCACTTCTCTAATGCCGTGCGTTTCCGGCTGGCCCTCCCCTTCTCCACACCAAAGAACTGTGACTGCGCAGACCACGTCGCCATCACGGACCCCCGCCTCCCTAACCACCTACTCCGCTGCGGCACGGGCAAGCATCGCATCAACACCCACAACGAGCTGCGCGACGCGTGCATTAGCATGGCCCAAGACGCGGGGTTCATTGTCCACAGCGAGACGTTGGTGCACTGCCCCATTGAGGAGCAGACAGCTGATTTCACGATGACGGACAGAAGCAGTGGGGCTGTCTACGTATGCGACGTCACCATTACCGACCCTATTAGCACTTGGGATCCAGAGGCGCAAAAGGGCAGGGGCTGGGCGGCACGGGAGCAAGCGGACAAGAAGATCCAGCACTACGCCACCCTGCCAGAGACAGTGAAGTTCTTCCCACTAGCGGTGGACACCTACGGCTGCCCTTGCGCGGAGGTGCACATCTTCCTGAAGCTCTTGGTGGACACTGCAGCTCGGCGCCACTTCAACGCCGACTCAAAATCTTTCTATGCTGCAAAGTTCCTGCACCAGTTCAGGCAACGCTGGTCGGTGGCCCTGCAAAGGGCCCAATCTGTGGGCCTCCTGCTCAAGCTTGGGGAGGCTGCGGCGGTAGAGAACCCGTCTGTGGGGGGAATTGGGGACGAATTGCACCTTGGGGACTGCTTCGCAGTCATTGAGCCCCTTGTGGACTTGTAGATACGTAGTGTTTGTGCATTGCATGTGCGTTGCTTTTCGGCTATATGACTTGATGCACTTGCCGGCTAGGACCATAGAGAGAGAGAGAGAGAGAGAGAGAGAGAGAGAGAGAGAGAGAGAGAGAGAGAGAGAGAGAGAGAGAGAGAGAGAGAGAGAGAGAGAGAGAGAGAGAGAGAGAGAGAGAGAGAGAGAGAGAGAGAGAGAGAGAATGCACGTGGGAGTGCGTGAGAGAGAGCGCGTTGGAGTTTGCATGAGAGTGCGCATGAGAGAGCATATGGGAGAGCGCGTTAGAGAGCGCGTGAGAGAGCACGTGAGGTAGCGCGTGAGAGAGCGCGTGAGAGAGCGCGTGAGCGAGCGTGTGAGAGCGCATGAAAGAGTGCGTGAGGGAGCACGTGAGAGAGAGCGTGAGAGAGTGCATGAGAGAGGGCATGAGAGAGCGCGTGAGAGAGAGCGCGCGAGGTTGCGTATGAGAGAGCGTGTGAGAGAGCGCGCGTGAGGTTGCGTATGAGAGAACACGTGAGAGAGCGTGAGAGTACGCGTGAGAGTGCGCGTGAGAGTGCGCGTGAGAGAGCGCGTGAGAGAGCGCGTGAGAGAGCGCGTGAGAAAGAGAATGCGCGTGAGAGTGCGCGAGAGAGAGCGCGTGAGAGTGTGCCTGAGAGTGCGCGTGGGAGTGCGCGTCAGAGTGCATGTCAGAGAGCGCATGAGAGAGTGCGTGAGAGAAGGCCTGAGAGAAGGCCTGAGAGAGCACGTGAGAGAGCGTGTGAGAGAGCGAGTGAGGGTACATATGAGAGAGCGCATGAGAGAGCGCGTGAGTGAGCGTGAGTGTGCGCGTGAGAGTGCGCGTGAGAGTGCGCGTGAGAGAGCGCGTGAGAGAGCGCGTGAGAGAGAGAGTGCGCGTGAGAGTGCGCGAGAGAGTGCGTGTGAGAATTTGCGTGAGAGTGCGTGTGAGAGCGTGTGAGAGCGTGTGAGAGCGTGTGAGAGTGCGCGTGACAGAGCGCGTGAGAGAGCGTGTGAGAGAGAGCACGAGATAGTGCGCAAGAGAGAGCGTGAGGGAGCGCGTGAGAGAGCGCGTGAGAGTGCGCGTGAGAGTGCGCGTGAGAGAGCGCGTGAGAGTGCGCGTGAGAGTGTGTGTGAGAGTGCGCGTGAGAGTGCACATGAGGGTGCGCGCGAGAGAGCGCGTGATAGAGCGCATGAGAGAGAGCACGTGGGAGAGTGTGTGAGAGAGCGCATGAGAGAGAATGTGCGTGAGAGTGTGTGAGGGAGAACGTGAGAGAGAGCGAGTGAGAGTGTACTTGAGAGTGCGCGTGAGAGAGCGCGTGAGAGAGCGCGTGAGAGAGCGCGTGAGAGAGCGCATGACAGAGCATGTCAGAGTGCTCGTGAGAGTGCGCGTGAGAGAGCGCGTGAGAGAGCGCGTGAGAGAGCGCGTGAGTGCTTGTGAGAGCGTGAGTGAGAGAGTACGAGAGAGTGCGTGTGAGAGTGTGCGCGTGAGAGTGAGCGTCAGAGTGCTCATAAGAGTGTGCGTGAGAGTGCGCGTGAGAGTGTGCGCAAGAGACTTGAGAGACGCGTGAGAAAGCGCGTGAGAGAGCGCGTGAGAGTGCGCGTGAGAGTGCGTGTGAGGGTGCGTGTTTGGGTGCATGTGAGGGAGCGCGTGAGGGAGCGAGTGAGAGAGCGCGTGAGAGAGCGCGTGAGAGAGCGCGTGAGAGAGCGCGTGATAGCGCGTGAGAGAGCGCATGAGCATGCTGGGGCGTAGGCACTAGCATCTATTCTGCTGGTGCTTGGGATACTGGGGCTACTTATACGAATGAGTGTTGCTTTCTGCACTAGCGTTTAGTGTACTGGCTTGTAAGGTTTTGGCACCTCAGACGCTCGTCTAGGCCGTTGGCAACTAGCGGGCTAGTGCCTAGCACGCTCGTGTAGCGGGCTGTAATGCTTGGGCGCTGGCATGGCACCTAGTGTGCTGTGCCTGAAGCGCTAGCGTCATGGCTTTTGGCCTTGTTGCTTTCTTGTACACAGTGTGTGAACATACACTATTTTTTGTGCAAGGTGTGCTGTTGCTTTCTCTGTTCATGCTTTCTTGTGCAGGGCATGTGTGTGTTGACTTCTCGATTTTATCTTTGTGCACGGCATGGGGGTGTTGACACCTCTCTTTTTGGTGTGTGCAGGGCTTGTGTGTGTTGACTTCTCTGTTTTTGCTTTGTGCAGGGCATGTGTGTGTTGACTTCTCTGTTTTTGCTTTGTGCAGGGCGTGTGTGTGTTGACTTCTCTGTTTTTGCTTTGTGCAGGGCGTGTGTGTGTTGACTTCTCTGTTTTTGCTTTGTGCAGGGCGTGTGCGTGTTGACTTCTCTATTTTTGCTTTATGCAGGGCGTGTGCATGTTGCCTTCTTTGTTTTTGCTTTGTGCAGGGCGTGTGCGTGCTGACTTCTCTGTATCTGCTTTGTGCAGGGCATGTGCGTGTTGACTTCTCTGATTTCGCTTTGTGCAGGGCGCGTGAGCTGAAAAGGGAGATGAGGGAAGGAGGGAGGGAGGGTTGTAGAGAGTGTAGGTGGGATAGGCTAGCAACTATTTATGCATTTCTGAATTTTATTCATGACGGTTGTGTGTTTCATACGGTCTCTGTATCTATCTGTGGTTGTTTGCGTGTGTGTCAGAGTGTGCGTGTGATTCTGCGTGTGTTTACGTGCGCGTGTCAGGCCGTGCGTGCGATATGCGCATTTGTCTGTTTGCACCCGTCTGTCTCGTGTATGCAACTGATGTATGATGTTAAAGTGTGTCGGGTCTGCATTTGAGGTGGGGATCGTTGTTGGGGCAGCGTTGCTCGCCTTAGCATACCGGAACCACTACTGTTGCAGCACCGATGCATTTTAGCATTCACTCGCAGTTGTTATGTGTTGTTTTTGCACGTGTTATGCAACTGAGGTGTGATGTTAAAGTGTGTCGGGTCTGCATTTGAGGTGGGGATCGTTGTTGGGGCAGCGTTGCTTGCCTTAGCATACCGGAACCATCTCTGTTGTAGCACCGATGAATTTTAGCATTCACTCACACGTATTATGTGTTGTTTTTGTTCGTATGCACATGATTTGCATTCATGACCAGTGGGTTTTTTTCTCGTCAATTGTGTTTGGTGACGACCTATTGTTCCTTTCGCCATATTCATCGACGATTATGGAATGATAGGTCACATTTGGTTTCATCTTTTTGGAGACTTAGTGTTCAGTGTTGTCATCTCCGCACATTTCAAACACTGGTTATCAAAACGTTGAAACGAGTGGTTCGTGTCGAAGAGAAAGGCCCCGCCCTCGCTTGGGCGCAGCCGAAGGATCTCACCGTCGACGAGAAGTTCGTGACGGATTGGTCAACAAAATGGGCTTCTGCAGTTCGACGGAAGTTGCGGTCGAGCAGGCTCTGCTCGACAGAATCTGGTCGACGAGCTCTGCGCGATGAGCTCTGGTCGACGATCTCTGCGCGACGAGTTCCCGTCAAAGAACGCTGGTCGACAATCATGGTCGAAGAGTTCGGGTCGAGAAGCTCTGCACGACGAACGCTGTTCGACCGAGCAGAGTCGAGCTGATCGACCGAAGTTGCAGAGTTGCGCGAAACTCTGCGAAGGCGTGTGACCTTTCGCCCAGGAGGTTTTGGCGAAGTTCTACCTGCGGAACGGCATCACGTGGTCGACGGTGCGCACCTGGCGAAACCGACGACACGTTTTCTACCTGGCACCTGCGCAATGTGCCTGACGGTGAAACCGCCAACCTGCACCTACTTGGTAGGTGCGCACATCTGCGCAGATAGACAACCTGCGACTGCAGATAGTCACCTGCGACTGCAGTGCTGGCAGACCGCGCGCAGTGCAACGCTGGCAGATTGCTCTGATGCAACGTTGGCAAGCCGCTCTTCTGCTGCGCTGGCAGATTTTGCCCTTACTAGGAGTTCCATGCCAGTCTAGTTCTTTTGTTCTGCATGCCTCAATTGTACTCTAATCTTCTCAATGTTCTTTCAATTCCTTAGTGGAAACTATTGTCAACTTCCAACTTTCTTTTGCAAGTAGCAAGAACGTTAGCAGAGCGCTACGATCACTCGCACAACCCCGTGCCCTCCTCCGTAGTCCACTCCCGTTGTGTAGTGACTCTCCGCATGGTGCGGTGAGCGTGGACGGCCCCGCGTTAGAACCTTCAGATAGCCGACTTCTGCGTTCATTACCTAAGTTGTTGTTGGGCCAGCAGTCGTCTTAGTCGCCATGGTCGACCCCGTGGTCGAAGCAGGTGTAGAAGATACCCTGCAGGCGAGAGAGGCTGGTGTTCGGGCACGCCACGAGGCTGGCGGGTACGGCGAGGCGGATTTGGAGATTCTGCTCCTTGGAACTCGTGCGCAGTGGGCGCGTGAGCACCCCCCTCCCCGTGCAGAAGCGGACGACGCGTCCGCCTCTCCCCGACCCGTGCACAACGAAGGCGATGGCGGGAATGTTGTCGGCGGTGGAAGCACGAGGGTTCGCGGAGTGATACGGCCTGCCGACATCAACATGGGCGGAGTGCAGACGCAAGTGCTGCGATCGTCTGCGACTGGAGGCAGCTCGAACGGCAACGTCGATGGTCGACATCAATCTCCTCTGCGGAGTGGAGTCAGGCCAACTTCGGCGACTCATGCGTCGGCTGGTCGAGACGGAGGCATCGCGCCGGCGTATGGCTACTTCAAATTTTCGCCGGACAAGATCGCTGTGCCGAAGCCGCTCGAAGGACGCCACGACTTAATCACGTGGATCGAATCCATTGAACCGCAGCTGGAGATCGCCGGATTGAAGAAGTTCGTCGACGGCAATGTTGCGACGCCGGACGCAGACGACTCTGAACTCTGGGCGGAATTTCGCGCTGCTCATCTACTAACCTTCATGGTCATTTCGAGGTGTTGTTCGCCTCTGGTGCAGGTCGCATTGACGTCGTGCAGACAACAGGTGGATGCTGGCTACCAAGCGTGGCAGTACATCATGCGCACCTACAAAGCGACATTGCACTAGCCACGTGTGTTTCGTGCTGAGTATTCTTTGCAACATACTTCAGGCAAATAAAGTTGGACTGGTTTGAGCTGAACTCACTAGAACTGATTCAGACTCAAACTTGCTTCAGAAGTGATCCACACTTGAAGAACAAACCGTAAGATGTTCTAGGTGGTTCAACCCGAACCAACTCACACTGGTTTGGTGTGTTCGACTATGCCCGCGACTTCGATCAGGTTTGGCGCGACCTCTACAAAGCGACTATGGGGGAGCAGGAATCGGCGACCGAGTACTGCAATCGAGCGCAGCGAGTCTTGGCCGATCTGCGGATGGCCGGCGTCGACTACTCGGTGGCGTCGTATGTCACTCATGTCATCAGCGGCCTCCCCTCGGGCTACAATTTAATGCGCCGGATGCTGACAATTCCCGGCACGCGCGAGACTCTGAACGAGGATTCGCTTTCGAGCCACAACATCCAGGACGAGTTCATGCAGGAATCTGAGCGATCTGCAGAACTGCTTCCGCAGGCCAACTACGTCGCCCCGGCGAAGCAGGGACGCCAACAGGGGCAGCGTGGAAAGTCTGCCGGAGGCGGTGGTAGGAAGGCATCGAACGCGAAATCGACGGAGGGCGCCGACCGCGGGAAGTCGGCGAAAGGAGGAGATCGCGGTGGCGGTGGCTCGCGTCGAGAAGGCCGCCGTTGCTACATCTGCGATGCTCCCGACCACCTCTCGTACGACTGCCCCGACCGAGATGAGTTTGACGACGACCGGGACGCCAACCGCAAAAAGGGAGAAGGTGGTCGTCGTCGTCGGAACAACCAGCCGCGCAAGGAGAAGCAGCCGTCGAAGACGTCTTCGACGAATAATGCTGACTCCTCTGGCGGCAATGCTCGGAGGCTTCGTGCTCGATGGTCGACGTGGTGGAGCCGACGATCTCGTTGGCGCATGAGGCCGGCGAGGACTTCAAGGCGGTCGCTGCTGCTGTGGAGGCGAATCCGACGATCGTGCTCCTCGACAACGGCTGCTCCCACCATTTGATGGGGACGAAGGAGGCCTTCGTCGACATGCAGCCGAGCGGAGACGTGCGCCACGTTCGCGGCTTCAACGGGGCACTTCAGAGCGTCGAAGGCAGAGGCACCATTGCTCTACAAGGGGAGGCCGGGAAGCAGGCCCTCGTCCCCGACGTCCTCTACGTTCGGGGTGTGCACGCGAACCTGCTGTCAGCCGGCCAGCTCAAGGAGAACGGCGTGAAGCTTCAGGACGACGGCAGAAAGATGCTGCTGGTGTCTTCTGCCGGCGATGTCCTTGGTCGAGCACGCTACTATGGCAGAATTCTCTGCACCGACCTGCGCCCCTGCTCGACGAAGTCGACGGCGACTTCGACGGAGGTTGTGGCTCTGCGGACGATCGCGTCGGCGACGAAGTTGACCCCGGACATTCTGCACGCACGGCTTGCGCACGTCGGCGTCGACACGATCAAGAGCTCGGCGAAGCATGAGGTCGCCGCCAGTCTGGACATCAAGAAGTCGACCGCGGCTGATCTGCCGTGCACCTCCTGCGTCGGCGGCAAGCTTGCACGACACACCTTCCCCGACCAAGGATCGGACGCCAAGAACGCGCTCGATGTGGTGCACATCGATCTCTGCGGGCCGTTTCGCGTGGCCGCCACCGATGGCAGCCTCTACTTTCTTTTGCTGAAAGATAGGAAGATTCGCTACGTGTGGGTGAGGCAGATTGCGAAGAAGAGCGATGTGCTGGTCGTCTTCGACAAGTGGCTGAAGGAGGTGGAGCGGCAGACGTCGAAGACGGTGAAGAAGCTGCGTTCTGACATGGCGGAGAGTTCCTCGGTCGCGCCTTCACCGACCTCGTCGAGGACAAGGGAATCCTCCACAATCTGACGTGCCCCTACACTCCGCAGCAGAATGGCATGGCAGAGCGGGAGATGCGCACGGTGGTCGAGGCCGTGCGAACGATGCTTCTGCACATGGGCGTGAAGCATCACTGGTGGCACCTCGCTCTGCGACAGGCCGTGTGGGTGCGCAACTGCCTCGAGCGGGCTTCTCTGCCGAAGGGGACGACGCCGCATGAACTGCTGTTGGGAACGAAGCCGGATCTGACGCTGGCGCGCGTGTGGGGTTGCATGGTGCAGTTCATGGTCCCCGAGCAGCAGCGCGGCGGGAAACTAGCGCCGAAGGCTCGTTGGGGTCTCCACCTCGGCGTGTCGCCAGAGAGCAAGGGGTGGGAGGTGCTCGATCTGACTGCCAACAGGTTCATCACAACGGTCGAAGCAATCTTCTACGAGAACCTATCGATGGAAAAGTGGAAGACAGAGTACGGGCCGGCGTCGACAAGAACACTGTCTGCCCCGCCACCAGATTCCTCCTCGGAGGTGCCTCCTCTGCTCGCCGTCGCCGATGAGCCTGATGAGGACGTAAAGGAAGTCCCGCTCCCTCCTCCTGTTGTGCCCTCGTCGGCCGTCGACGATGAGGGGAGCCTTGGTCCGTCGCCTGCGGCGCCGACCGGTTGCATTGCCAATGGCCGACGTGACGCCGAGAAGGTCGGCGACGGAGAGCGGCAGACGACAGGGGAGCTGTCGGCGTCGAAGCCTACTTCCGAGAAGCTGCTGGCAGAGGCGCCGAAGCAGACTGCAGAGAAGCCGCTGGTAGAGGCGCCAGCTTCAGGGGAGCCGTTGGCAGAGAAGCCGATTCTGGGGGAGCAGTCGGTAGAGAAGCTGCCAACAGGGGAGCAGTTCAACGACGACTCGTCGAGCGACGACGTTGTGGAAGTCGTCGGTGCGGACGGCGGCAGTGAAGAAGAGCTGTCTACAGGGGAGCAGTCCGACGACGGCGACGTGGTAGAGGTCACGGTCGAAAAGGAGAAACCGCACCGTTCTACCCGCCCCAACATCGGCAAGCCGCCGGAGAAGCTGAGCTACCACGCTTGTCTGCCGCCGACGGCCTACAGCACTCTGCTCGACGACGCAGAGGCCGACGTGCATCTGCCCGAACTCGACCCCGACATGCATGCTGACCCAGAGCATCGCTGGGACATCGCCAACATGACGGTGAAGGAGGCCTTGGCCGAGCTGGAAGGGCAAGGCGGTGAAAGCGGCCATGGACGAGGAAATCAAGAGCCTCATCTCCAACGGAACGTGGGAGCTTGTTGAGCGTCCGCGCGGTGTCAACATTATGAAGAACCGTTGGGTGCTCACAACGAAGTACCATGTCGACGATACGGTCGCTCGCAAGAAGGCGCGTCTGGTGGTGAAAGGCTTCATGCAGGTTTACGGCGCAGATTACGACGAGACGTACGCGCCGGTGGGGAGCTACGTAACTCTGCGGATCTTCCTCAGCATCGTAGCAGTCCTCGACCTGCACCTGATGCAGCTGGACATGAAAAACGCGTTTCTGCAGAGCAAGCTGGATCGCGTCCTCTACATGTACCAGCCCGATTCCTTCAACGACGGAACTGGCCGAGTCTGCAAGCTACTGAAGAGCTTGTATGGCCTGAAGCAGAGTCCGCTGCTGTGGTACTCGGCGCTCGACACGGTGCTGACGGGCGCCAACTGGCAGAAGAGCCAGGTCGATGAGGCGCTCTACTTCAAGGTCGGTGACGACGGAGTGGGGTGCTGGGTGCTCGTCTAGGTCGACGACCTGCTCGCCGCAAGCAGCAGCACTGCGATGCTGAAGGAGCTGAAGGAGCTACTGGAGGCCGCCTTCGAGCTGCGCGAAATCAGCCCGGTCGAGAAGTATCTCGGGCTGGAAATCGTGCGCGACCGTCCTGCGCGAAAGCTGTGGCTTCACCAGCAAGTCTACGTCGACAAGCTGCGTCGGCGTTTCATCGACGAGGAGCAGACTGGGCGAGTGCCGAAGACGCCGGTCTCCGTCGACGCCTACGCAGAGCTGGTGTTCGACGACGAGGAGTTCCAGTCGCGCGAGGAAGCTGAATATCGGCAGAAGGTCGGCTCGCTGCAGTTCGCGGCCACCACGACGAGGCCCGACATTGCCTTCGCTTGCAGCAAGCTCGGATCCGGCCTGACAGTGCGGAGCGACAACCACTGGCGTGAGGTCGATCGCTGTCTGCACTACCTCGCTGAAACTCGTGACGCCGCTCTGGAGTTCGGCGGCGGACCAGAGTCGCTGTGTCTGGTCGGCTATGCAGATGCAGAATCGGACGAGCACGGGCGGCTACGTGTTCGTCTTCGGAGGGGCCGCGGTCTCCTGGTCGAGCCAGCGCATCAAGTGCGCAACACTCTCTTCGACCGAATCAGAGTACGTCGCGGCCACCGAAGCCGGCAAGGAGGCTCGCCGTCTACGCTTTCTCCTTCCAGAATTCCGCCTGCTCGACCCGGAGAAGTCGACTGTTCTGCACGTGGACAACCAGTCGGCGATCACTGTCGCAGAGGGCTTGGGGCTCAAGGGCAACCTCAAGCACATGGAGCAACGTTACGCGTGGCTGCAGCAGATGGTGAAGCGCGGGAAGATTGCTCTATAGTACATCCCGACGACCGAGCAGCCGGCGGATTTTCTGACGAAGGCGCTGCATTTTCCGGCTTTCAACCGGTGCTCCGTCGCAATCGGCCAAGTGCGTCTGGCCGACGTGGGCAACGAAAGATGATGAGGTGCAGCAGTAGGTGCTGTGCCCTTCTGCACGGCTGGTGCGGTGATCTACGTGCTATGTGTTGGGCGCACGTAGAAGGAATTTTTATCCTTGTACTCTATCCCTCTAAGTTCTTGGTGGACCTTGTGTGTGGGGTGCCCAAGCGTGAGCGCGGCAGGGGAGTGTCGAAGAGAAAGGCCCCGCCCTCGCTTGGGCGCAGCCGATCTCGCCGTCGACGAGAAGTTCGCGACGGATTGGTCGACAAAATGGGCTTCTGCAGTTCGACGGAAGTTGCGGTCGAGCAGGCTCTGCTCGACAGAATCTGGTCGACGAGCTCTGCGCGATGAGCTCTGGTCGACGATCTCTGCACGATGAGTTCCCGTCGAAGAACGCTGGTCGACGATCCCGGTCGAAGAGTTCGGGTCGAGAAGCTCTGCACGACGAACGTTGTTCGACCGAGCAGAGTCGAGCTGATCGACCGAAGTTGCAGAGTTGCGCGAAACTCTGCGAAGGCGTGCGAACTTTCGCCCAGGAGGTTTTGGCGAAGTTCTACCTGCGGAACGGCATCACGTGGTCGACGGTGCGCACCTGGCGAAACCGACGACACGTTTTCTACCTGGCACCTGCGCAATGTGCCTGACGGTGAAACCGCCAACCTGCACCTACTTGGTAGGTGCGCACATCTGCGCAGATAGACAACCTGCGACTGCAGATAGTCACCTGCGACTGCAGTGCTGGCAGACCGCGCGCAGTGCAACGCTGGCAGATTGCTCTGATGCAACGTTGGCAAGCCGCTCTTCTGCTGCGCTGGCAGATTTCGCCCTTGCTAGGAGTTCCATGCCAGTTTAGTTCTTTTGTTCTGCATGCCCCAATTGTACTCTAGTCTTCTCAATGTTCTTTCAATTCCTTAGTGGAAACTATTGTCAACTTCCAACTTTCTTTTTCAAGTAGCAAGAACGTTAGCAGAGCGCTACGATCACTCGCACAACCCCGTGCCCTCCTCCGTAGTCCACTCCCGTTGTGTAGTGACTCTCCGCAGTTCGAAAATTGGGTAAATGACAAAATCTGCACTGTTTATTTGAGTCCACCGAAAAGTGCTACCAAATGTATAGGGTTGCTACGCACGACGTTTACGTCGGAAGGGTTGCGTAGAGTTGTATCCCTTGTATGGAAACATTATGTTAGAAACATTATGATAGAGTACATTATAATTATCCTTTGCTTACATAAGCAATTCATTAAGTTCTTCATTTTTAGTTAAAACTGCTCAGGCTCGATATTTCCCTATTATGAAGCAAAATGTTCTATAGATGTTGCTTCCCTCATAGTTGTTAAAGCCCGTAGCTAAAATAGTGACCCCCCCCTTCTAGTTGGGTCCAACTTGATTACTCAAGTCTTTTTGTATTGTTTTGTTAAGTTGGAAGTGCTGTGTGCTTTTTTTTTTTCAACCTTCACACGAGTTTCATAGTGGACGACCTTCCTCAATTCTGATTGGCAACTAGAATCTCTCACTTCTACGTGTGCGAATTTGGCGCAAAGTTGAGCGACGTGGACTCCTGAATTTACTTGAGCCGATACTTGACCAATTTCACATCCATCAACATCTCGCTCTAAATCCCAACCAGACACACTTGGTGAGAGCCACATACACACGCTAGAGCCCATACTTCACCAAATTCGCATCTAGCAATGTGCTGCCTTGGACTTGGGGTCCGTGAGACAACAATAACGGGGAATGGAGGAAAATGATGAAGGGCAAGGTGATGCGAATGAAGAGAAAGAGGGTGATGGGAGAGAGAGGAACGGTGCGCTGGCGACGAAGTGGAAGGGCATGGGAGGGCAGGGGAGAGAGGAATAGGAGAGAAAGTGGGGCCACGGGAAGGGAGATAGTGGCGACGGCGAGGGGAAGGGAAGCCTTCCTTCCCTGAGGGGGATCGTGAGGGCGACGGGAGGAACGGGGGACATAAATTGTGAGGCGCGGGGAAGTGAGATCGTGGGGGCGACGGGAAACGGGAGGGCGACGGGATGGGAGAGCAGATCGCGAAGACGATCTGAATGGAGGGCGATGGGAAACACGAGAGCAAGGGGATGGGAGAGCAGATCGCGAAGGCGATCTGAACGGAGGGCGACGAGAACGGGAGGGCGACGGGAGGAAAGGGAGGGCGAGGGCGAGGGGAAAGGGTGAGAGATGCCGATGGCGAGGGGACGAGAAACGGGAGGGCGACGAGATGGGAGAGAGGAAGGGCGTAGAGATGGGAGAGAGGAAAGGCGTAGAGATGGGGGAGAGGAAGGGCGTAGAGATGGGAGAGAGGAATGGCGTAGAGATGGGAGAGAGGAAGGGCGTAGAGATGGGAGAGAGGAATGGCGTAGAGTTGGGAGAGAGGAAGGGCGATGTGATGGGAGAGAGGAAGGGCGATGTGATGGGAGAGAGGAAGGGCGATGTGATGGGAGAGAGGAAGGGCGATGTGATGGGAGAGAGGAAGGGCGACAAAAGGACGAGACGGAATGGAAATCAGATCTCGTGCATGCATCCTCCGAACATCATCGGTGCCATGAACGGCAAGCTTATGCGCTGTGCGTGCAGTCAGATCTGGAATAATTGAATACGGATATGGGAGCGGAAAATCAGATGAACCCAATGGATGATATGGAAGTGTGGCTAAAAGAACCTTCGAGTCGAAGTTGAACAGGCTAATGCTTCTCGCACAGCAACATTCAGGGGAGAGAGTAGCAAAGCGATGAGAGCAATAAGCAGTGAAGTGATGTGTTAGCGACTTCGGGATGAGATCGATGAGCGTCAAAGCGATGAGCGCCTTGACGTCGCTACATGTTCTGGAAAGCTGAACGTCAAAGAACATAAATCGTCAAGGCACTATCGTGTTGAGTTGCGGAATGTGCCTCTTCTTAAGATTCTACTCTACCGCCGCACAGTACCTCCTCACAATGGCTGCTACCGGTATTGGTGTTGATCTTCGTTGCGTCTCCTATGCTTCTGTCCAGAGCGACATCAAGAACGGCGTTTCTACCGTTCCTGCATACTTCAGCGCCTCGCGACGACAACCAAAGTATTACTATATTACGCACCCGAGCTAAGTCCGTACATGCGACTATCAAACTCAGCCTACAAACGGCGTGCCTAGGGCGCACGTGACTACTATTTCAGCTAAACTGAGGAAAGAAAGTAGCGACTACGGGATGAGAAAGAGAGTTGTGAACCCAGTTCCAGCTTGATTCTGAAGTTGGCCGGGCGACCAAAACGATCGCTTTGCATCGGTCGTGAGGGTGCAGCACGTAGACGTGCGACGGTTGACATGAGCCCCAAAATTCATTTGGCAGGAGCCAACAAAATTCACATGTTGGCAATAGCCAATCAGAACAATTCAATATGAACTTTCCGGTTGTTTGAATCAGTGTTGTATCGGCCCGATCCCTTGAGCTTTTTGCAGGGCTATTTCAAGCTGGGACGGGGGTCACTATTTTGCCTGCTAGCTTTAATTGATTGTGGAACAATTTGGACGTTTATGCTCTTTTTGTGAATTTTACAAACATGAATTGTTTTCCATTGTTCTTTCATATTATTATAGCGGGTTGGGCGTTTGGCATCGCTGAGTGCCCTCGTCCTGCGCTGGCATAAAATATCTCGCTCTGCTGGTAGAAATTTTCTCGTTCTGCGCTGGCAGAAATTTTCTCGTTCTGCGCTGGCAGAAATTTTCTCGTTCTGCGCTGGGATCCGTCTCTTTCACAGCTCGAATTCGGCGCTGTCTTTTCTTGGTTCTTGTTCTTGAATCTTCTTGACAAGAACCTGCTCTGCTCCTACTCCTTTTCCTCCCCTACCCCCCACCCTCTCGCTCCCATCCAGCCGTATCCTCTCCCTCACTAGCCGCTGACACCTCTCCAACCCACCTCACAATCAGTCCGTCCCATCCACCCCGCCATCTCCTCTCCCTTACCTCTCCGCCGTCGCCTCCCTCCTCTTCGTCGTCGCATCTCCTCCTCCCCGCCGTCGCCTATCCTCCTCCCCGCCGTCGCATCTCCTCCTCCCCGCCGTCGCCTCTCCCTCCTCCCCGCCGTCGCCTCTCCCTCCTCCCCGCCGTCGCCTCTCCGTTCTCCCCGCCGTCGCCTCGCTCCTCCCCGCCGTCGCCTCTCCTCCTCCCCGCCGTCGCCTTTCTCCTCCCCACCGTCGCATCTCCTCCTCCCCGCCGTCGCATCTCCTCCTCCCCGCCTTCGCCTCTCCCTTCCCCGCCGTCGCCTCTCCTCCTCCCCGCCGTCGCCTCTCCCTCCTCTCCGCTGTCGCCTCTCGCTCCTCCCCGCCGTCGCCTCTCGCTCCTTCCCGCCGTCGCCTCTCGCTCCTCCCCGCGGTCGCCTCTCCCCACTCCCCGCCGTCGCCTCTCCTTCCCTCTCCGCCGTCTCCTCCGGCGACAGGTGCACGAGCGCAAGCGCGGGTTGGTGCGCGAGCGCGGGTTGTTTTCTCAGGCACCGTGGTTATCAGGTGCGTTCCCGGTCAAATTTCCGTCCTGTTTTGTTTCGTTTTGTTTTTTCTCTCCAATGTGTCGATTGGTCTCCACTTGCATTGCACTTTTATTTGAAGAAGAAAGAGATGGAGCGCGAGGGAGAGCGCGTGCGCGTGAGAGAGCGCGTGAGAGAGCGCGTGAGAGAGCGCGTGAGACAGCGTGTGAGAGAGCGCGTGAGAGAGCGCGTGAGAGAGCGCGTGAGACAGCGTGTGAGAGAGCGCGTGAGAGAGTGCGAGAGAGAGCGCGTGAGAGCGCGTGAGAGCGCGTGAGAGAGCACATGAGAGAGCGCGTGAAAGCGCACGTGAGAGAGCGCGTGAGGGAGCGCGTGAGAGAGCGCGTGAGAGAGCGCGTGAGAGAGCGCGTGAGAGAGCGCGTGAGAGAGCGCGTGAGAGAGTGAATGCGTGTGATAGTGCGCGAGAGAGAGCGTGAGAGAGAGAACGTGAGAGTGTGCCTGAGAGTGCACCTTGAGAGAGAGCGTAATAGTGCGTGAGAGAGCACGAGAGGGCGCGTGAGAGCGCGTGAGAGAGCACATAAGAGAGTGCGTGAAAGTGCGCGTGAGAGTGAGCATGAGAGAGCGCGTGAGCGAGCGCGTGAGAGAGATCGCATGAGAGAGCGCGTGAGAGAGCGGGTGTGAGTGCGCGTGAGAGCGCGAGAGAGAGAATGCGTGTGATAGTCCGCGAGAGAGATAATATGGTGAGAGTGCGCAAGAGGGAGTGCGAGAGGGAGTGCGTGAGAGTGTGCCTGACAGTGCGCGAGGGAGCGCGTGAGGGAGCGTGAGAGAGCGCGTGAGAGTGCGCGTGAGAGAGCGCGTGAGAGAGCGCGTATGAGAGCGCGTGAGAGAACGCGTGTAAGAGCGCGTGAGAGAGCGTGTGAGGGAGCGTGTGAGGGTGCTCGTGAGAGAGCGTTTGAAAGAGAGAATGTGCGTGAGAGTGCGCGAGAGAAAGGACGTAAGAGAGAGAATGCGCGTGAGCGTGCAGGAAAAAGAGCGCGAGAGAGAGCGCTTGAGAGTGCCCCTAAGAGTGCGCCTTGATAGAGCGCGTGAGAGAGCGCGTGAGAGAGCGCGTGAGAGAGCGCGTGTGAGCGCATGAGAGAGCGCGAGAGAGCGAGTGAGGGTGCGCGTGAGAGAGTGCATGAGAGAGCGCGAGAGAGCGAGTGAGGGTCCGCGTGAGAGAGCGCATGAGAGAGCGAGAGAGAGCGAGTGAGGGTGCGCGTGAGAGAGCGCGTGAGAGAGCGCGTGAGAGAGCGTGCCAAAGAGCGCGTGAGAGCGCATGAGAGTGCGAGAGTGCGAGTGAGAGAGCGCGTGAGGGAGCGCGTGAGAGAGCGCGTGAGAGAGCGCGTGAGAGAGAGTATGAGAGAGCGCGTGAGAGAGCGCATGAGCACGCTAAGACGTAAGCTCTAGCTCATCGGCGCCTCGCAGCACACTCGTGCACTGCAGTGCACTAGCGCCTTTCTGCTATACGTTGACGCCTTCTGCAATGCATGTGAGGGAGGGCGATTTGTACTTCTTGCTTGGCCTCCCGTAAGAGCACGTGTGTTGCGGTATCCTATTTTTGCTTTCTTGTCCACAGTATATGAACAAGCACTGATTTTTGTGCAAGGTGTGTTTTGCTTTCTTTGTTCTTTCTTTCTTGTGCAGGGTGTGTGTGTGTTGACTTCCTTGTTTTTGCCTGGGCGTGTGTGTGTTGACTTCACTGATTTTGCTTTGTGCAGGGCGCGTACGTGAGCTGAGAAGGGAGATGAGGGAGTGGGATGGAAATGAGGGAAGGAGGGAGGGAGGGTTGTAGGGAGGGTAAGGTGGGATAGGTGATATTTATTCTGAAATTTATTAACGACGGTTGTGTGCTTATTACGGTATCTCTCTGTGCGTGTTTGCGCGTGTGTGCATGTCTGTTCGTTGTGTTTGTTTCACTGTGGGGTTGCTCTTCGATGCGTTCACAACTGTTATGTGGTGTTGTACATTTTTGTTAAAATATATATTTATATATATTTATGTACCTGCCTGTAGCTGTAGCTTTAGTGTAGTTATAAACTCTTTGTGTTGGTGGTGCACCTCCTTTGTCTCCTATTTGTACCCACAATTCTATAGTGAACGCCCTTCCTTTCTACTCTCGATAGTTGCCTAGCACTCAAACCCGTACTAAGGACATTCTAACATGGTGTCAGAGCTGGTTCTTTCCTAGAACCTTCTCTGCTTTTTTTCAGTATCATGGGCCCGCCCTTCCTGCAGCGCGAAATGCGCTACTTTTATTTTCTTCGTCCTGTCGCGCCCTTCGCCCGTCGCGTCCGTCGTCCCGCGGCCTCCGTTTCGTCGCCCCGCGGCCCCCCGTTCACTGTCGACGTGGACGCCGACGCCAGCAGGCGCCGGCGACGAGCGCCAGCGCCGGGGATGGCCGCCAGCGCCAGCGCCAACGCGACCGCCAGTGGCTAACGCCACCGCCAGCGCCACCCGTCGCCGCCAACGCCAGTGCCAGCGCCAGCAGCCCACGCCAGCGCCGGCCGCGGGTGATGCCGCCCTTCCCACCCGCCCTCCCTTACTCTCCTTCCGTCGTGGAGGGTGGGGGGGGGGGGGATGTGGGGGGGCCACCACGTCCTCCCTCCCTTCCCTCTTACTCTCTCCCTGCAGCACTTGTTGCTGTAGGAGAAGGGGGGGGGGGGGGGGGGGATGAGAGATGGTAAGGGAGGGTAAGAGAGAGTGGTGGAACCAGTAGCCACGCATCTGCAGCTGCCGTCCACTGCTACTATGGCACCTACTTCTGCAGCCCCTGACGCTTCTCTCTCTCTCCGTTCGTCTTCTATGCTGTTGAGCTGCAAACTAAGCGCGCCACAGCACATCGTCTTCGTTCTCTCTTTCTTGCCTCAGGGCTTGCTGCAGCTGTCTCTGCCACCACTGCACTGGTTGTCATTGCACTTGCCTCCTGTTGCTGCTTTCTCTGTTCGTGGTGTACCCATCCAGGAGTTGTTGCTGCACAAGCTCCTGCTGCAGGCAGTTATGGGGGAGTGTTAGAATATATATTTATATATATTTATGTACCTGCCTGTAGCTGTAGCTTTAGTGTAGTTATAAACTCTTTGTGTTGGTGGTGCACCTCCTTTGTCTCCTATTTGTACCCACAATTCTATAGTGAACGCCCTTCCTTTCTACTCTCGATAGTTGCCTAGCACTCAAACCCTAGGCACTACTAAGGACATTCTAACAATTTTTTACGTGCGTTTGCATTCGTGTTTGTGGGATGTGTGTTTCAAAGTGTGGTGTTATTGTGTGTGTCATGTATGCAATTAGAGGTTGTTAATCGTCTTTGGGGCAGCGGGTTTCCGCTGTTTCAACGACCCCATCAACCTCTGTTGCT